ACGCAGACGCAGCTACCTGAGGGGACTCAGTGGTCAGTGTGTACAGGTCCGACCCCGGCTCTCGAGTGAAAGTAGCCAGGTGGCGACCCGTCCGAGCACACGTGCAGTGTGTCACGCGTTCGTAGGCAGGGGTGAACTGGTGAACACCCGAGTCCTGGAGCGCACAACCCGCCACCAAGTTCGTAGAGAACGAGGGGAGGTAGAGACCTGACAGCGTGCCGGACGGGACCGCAGGACAAGGAAGGACAGTGGAGGAGGTCGCAATGACTGGACCCCCAGAGGGGTCAGCAAGGGAGACAGCAACTGGCCGAGCGAGTGGCTCAAGGACAGTACGGTCACGAAAGAAAGAGCGAGAAGCACCTGAGTCCAGGGTGAAGGTGTGCAGTGCTGCAGTTGACTCAGTACCAGGGGGCACAGACGCACTAGCACCTAGGGCAGCAGCCTCACCAGGACCTGTGGGAGCGGACGCACTAGCACCTAGAGCGGCGGCCGGACTGGCCTGAATGCCCGGGTCGGGCGGAACACGCAAGTACTGAGCACCCTCTCCACTAATAGACATCGCATACATGGCAGTGAGAATAGCATCAAAGTCTAGAGCCCAAATATCAACACCCCTCTTTTCCAGGTCAGCCCAGCGCGGCAGCTCAGTGGCAGCAGGAAACTGGGTGCGCCACGCGTCGGTAAGGCGTGCGAAGCAGCGCTGCGTGGGGTGCGGCCTCCCACACTGCTGGCCGCTGCGGTCACCTGTGCGAATGACGTACGTGCAGGTAAAGCCACGCTGCGCATACCACTCACGGGCAGCCTGAAGCGTCGGGGCGGGCTGCTGACTCTGCCCTCCGCCAGTGCCTCCACGACCACCACCCCCACCGCCTCCGCCCCGGCCACCTCCACCCCTGCCGCCACCACGACCACCTCCGCCTCCGCTGCCGCCTCCGCCCCTGCCACCACTCCCGCCGCTGCTGTCTCCTCCCCCACTGCCGCCACTGGCCTCCTCAGCCGCGCCTCCACTCCCACCGCCTCCACACCCACCTCCTCCGCCGCCACAACCCACCCCTGCCTCCCTTGTTCCTGCGGCGCCCGCTCGAAGCAGACGCGGTCCCGACCTTCTCAGCACCAAGGAGGTCGACAGCAGCAGCAGAGGCGACAGAGGGGAGGAGGGGGGAAGGGGAACACCCCTCAAAGAACGGGGTGCGGGGGTCGCCACGAGAGGTGCCTACAGCGACGATACTCGCCTCAGCTGCAAGCAGTTCCTTCTCGAGGAGGGCAACAGTGAGCTCAGTGGGGGAGCGAGAGAGGAAATGGTCCCTGACTGCGCGTAGAGAGTCAGGGAGGCGAGTGACGATGTGGTAGAGAGTGATCCAGAGCGGGGGGGGGTTGCTAGTGAGAAACTCGGCAGGCATAGCAGCGCAAAAGCGGGCCTCACTAGTCTTAAGGTGGGTGATGAGGTCTGCGACAGTGTGAAAGGAGGCTAGGTCGGGGAACAGGTAGGGGAGAGTGAGGCGGCCTAGCGTGGCAGAAGCGGGTGAGGAGTAGCGGGCAACTACAGCTGTGTAGAGGTCCTTAGCAGTCTTGCACTGGCCGAAGTGCTCGCGCTCGTCTAGCGGCAGGGAGTTGCGAATAGCAAAGCGAGCGTGCGCATCACGGGTCTGCCACTGGGAACGCAGAGTGCTGTCAGCAGACGAGTCAGGGGCAGTGACATGGCCTAGGGCGTGGTCGTACAGTGAGGTATCTTCCTTGGCAGTGAGCTGTAGGAACAGGTGCAGGTCATCTAGCCAGGTTTCGAACTTCACTGGACGGCCCTCGGCATCGAAAGCTAGAACGGGAGGACTAGCCATAGTGATAGGATCAGTAGTAGTAGTAGCAGTAGTAGTAGGAATCAGGCCGCTGGAAAGGTGTGCGGAGGGTCAACGGGGCCGGCGGGGCCGCTAGGTAAGGCGCGGGCGGGGTCGACTGTCCGTAGTGGCACACGAGCGGCAGTAGTAGGTAGCGTGGCAGCAGGAGCTGCAACGGCGCACTGGTGGCAGCTGCAGTGGCAGCAGTGTGCGCGGTAGGTAGAAAATAAAAACTGTGAGAGCGAGTGCCTCGCGGGCGGCGGCTGCAGAAGCGCACAGGCGGCAGCGGCGCACGGGCAGCGGCGGCGCTCGGGAGGCAGCGGTGCGCAAGCAGCAGCGGAAGCAGCGGCGTACGAGCGGCTGCGGGCAGCAGGGCGTGCGCGAGCAGGCGACGGGCGGCTGCGGGGCGTGCGTGAGTAGGCGACGGGGCCGCGGGGCCGCGAAGTGGGGCGCGAGCGGTGCGCGGGCAGTGCGCGGGCGGTGCGCAGGCGGTGCGCAGGTTGCACGGGCTTAGCGCGGGCTGCGTAAGCGGTGCACGGGGCGGCAGCGGGCCTGAAGGGGCGATCGCGGGGCCGACTAGGTCGCTAAGGGGCGAGCGGCGGGTCGATCGCGGGGCCGACGGGGCCGTACGAAGCTGTGCGCGGGGCCGTAAGGGGCGGTGCGCGGGGCCGTAAGGGGCGGTGCGCGGGGCCGTAAGGGGCGAGCGAGGGGCCGTAGCGAGGCCTTAAGGGGCGGCGCGGCGGGGCCGTAAGGGGCAAACGCGGGGCCGACGGGGCTTAAGGGGCGGCGCGACGGGGCCTTAAGGGGCGGGTCGCGGGTCGCTAGTGCTTAGGGGCCGAAAAAAAAAAAAAAGTCGAGGCGCCCTAGGTAGGTAGGTAGGTAGGGAGTTAGGTAGCGGTGGGCCCTTAAAAAAAAACGGTCCTAGCGAAGGACCTGCTCTGAAACCATGTCGGAACAACAGACTGGAATGATGAACTAGAAAGGATTGTGAGTACAAATATGAAACCCTAATGTTGTGACCCCCCTATAGGCTAACCCACTACAGCCTACACAAATATAACATATACAATGTTTGACAGGGTCGCTGTATCTGATCATCTTAATGGTCATTCCCAGCTGCAACTAGACATGAGCAACGAGCGAACCGAACACGTTTGTCTCGAACAGTTTGCGAACACTTGGTCTCTTCGAACCGAACCGAACACGTTTTGACTCGAACAGTTTTCTTGAATGTTAGTGTTCCCCGTTCGAGTATAGGGTCGAACAGTTTTGAGGCAAGGCCGAACACTAAGGTGTTTGACCCGAACTCGAACAGTTTGCCTTCTGGAGTTTTTCAGTATTGTCACATTTAGGCAGGGCGAGTGTACTAGAAGCAATATCACGTTCCCTATAGCCCTACAAGAGATATAGTTAGGCTTGGTGCTGGTGGATATCCAATTTTGCCTTGCTAAACTCCAACCTAAACCAAAATGCCCTTAGTTTCTTTTGTTAACCGTCTCCTACCCTAATCCAACCTTATATCTAACGTTTCCAGCCACAATGTGGAATTTGGACCGTGGGAATGTGGTAGTTCAAGTGGGTAGGGGGCGGAATGCCATCCTTAGGTATATCGACGACTGAGCTCATTCTTGAGCTCAATCGTCGCCCTCTCCTTTTAGATCCAACCAGCGCGTCAAACTTTGACTCGCTGAATTTTCCCTCGAACACCTAGGTGTTTGCGACGAACACATTGTGTTCGCAAGCACCTTGGTGTTTGTGCATTTTTCTGCACACGAACACTCCAACAGTTGAACGTGTTTGTGACGAACACCAAGGTGTTCGTCACGAAAAATTTTGGGCAAAAAAAACAGTCGAACACGTTTGAGTCGAACACTTTCAAGTCGAACCGAACAGGGGTTCAAATTTTTGCTCATGTCTAGTTCCCCGTTCGAGTATAGGGTCGAACAGTTGTGACGCAAGGCCGAACACTAATGTGTTTGACCCGAACTCGAACAATTTGCCTTGGGGTTTTTTTTCAGTCTAGTCACATTCAGGCAGGGCGAGTGTACTAGAAGCAATATCACGTTCCCTATAGCCCTACAAGAGATATAGTTAGGCTTGACGCAGATCTGGTGGATATCCAATTTCGCCTTGCTAAACTCCAACCTAAACCGAAATGCCCTTAGTTCCGTTTTTTTAATCCAACCTTATACCTAACGTTTCCAGCCACAATGTGGAATTTTAATCGTGGGAATGTGGTAGTTTAAGTGGGTAGGGGGCGGAATGCCAGTTCTTAGGCTATATCGATGATTGAGCTCATTCTTAGGCTCAATCGTCGCCCTTCCCTTTTAGATCCAACCAGCGCGTCAACGAACACTGAAAGGTGAAGACACACCGAACCGAACAATGTTCGGTTCACCGAACGGTTGTGTTCGTGCAGGGGCGAACGTGAACATGTTCATGTTCGCCCCTTGCTCATCCCTAGACCAGGGCTAAATCCCGACTTGATGTCCAATTCTGGGTTGGAATGGGTCGGGTTTCGGGCCGACATTGACCCAACCCGGAACCGGGTCATGAAACAGGGTAACTGGGTCGGGTCCGCCTTGACCCGATTCTAACACTATGGGAAACCCTAAAGTCGATATCGAGGGGACATTTTTCCTAACCTCTTAGCTTAGGCCGACAAATCCTAGAACGATTCCTCGGATTCTACTTTTCCCTTTGACGCACTAGTTTGAATAACGCAGTCGATAATACATGCGTTTAGGAGACAACAATCGGAAATTATCCTTACAGCGTTTAGCAAACAATTTTGGCATACGAGTAAGAATGGCGTGCTGATTAGTTTTGCCACAGTTTTAGCCGTTCAACCAAGGCGCTTCCAATTAGAAAGCAACCACAGGTTGTGCTCGTATGCAGGGAGATGCATACCAAGCTCGAGAGCCATGAACCTCTCCACGTTTTGACAATTGGCATGCAATTACAGCCCTCCAACCTACCACACTTCAAATTTTGGGGAAACGAGTTCAACCTGTGGGGTGGGTTTTTGACTGGCCATGGGTGCCTGTCTATCTTTCAACAAGATTTCAGCTCGAACCATGGCATGGATTGCATGCATAAACTCTGAGCCCAAATCAGAGATAATATAAGCAATCAGGTTGAGCAAGAGAGTCAAAAGTAACCGCAATCCTAGCGGAGCACTTGGCCTCTTACAATACTGAAAGTGCGGTAAGCCTTGTTATCGAGGAGGGCAATGATCCTGACAGCGTGTTGGAGTGGAGAGACCTGTTGGCGACAAGGGCAGAGTGTAAGAACGAGGTGGAATGGATGCATTAGATAACGAGCTCAAGACTACATAGAATTGGGAACGATTGGAATCGAGGTCAATCCCCAATGATTTGATGAAATCTGCAAACCCTGTTGTTGGCTCCTGTCCCTCATTATTTCGCGTGGGTTTCAATTTTTCCTCCGGCTCACGCCGGCGGCCTTCGGCCGCGCGTCTCGGGTGGCAAGGCAGTGCAAGCTCAAGAATATGAGACCCACAAGGACTACACGACAGAGGAGACAAGGATCTAGCAAAAGGTGGCGGCATGCAATACTAGACGCGGCGGAGGCCTGCATCCTGTACGGCTCCGCCCCCTCCACCTCTAGCATCGAACGCATGCACGCCGACACCGCAAGGAGCTGCGCCGACGAGTGAAGCGTGTGTACCGGAGTTCCGTCACGGGCTGCCACAACAAGATCTTCCATGTGGCGGGGGAGGGTATGCGCTAAGGGCGCTACCCCGGCGGGTGCTACCGACACGGGCGCCAAGAGCGGGACAAGCGCTTCTGCCCAAGACACGCACGATCCTCGGGGACCTGGAGCGTAACTGCTCAGAGAGTTACACATGGCCTTACACATCGCCATCTGCAAGCTCGCCACCCCCTCGCACGCCTCCGCAAGATTCAACATCCTGCACATGGTATGCGTGGGATCTCTCCCCGCGCGGGTGGGGGGAGGTACAGTCGGAGCTTGGCGTGGAAACGCCGACGTCCGGCCCGGTGCTCGGCCAAGCGAGAAGTGCTGCGCGGAGAAGTCCGGGACTTGCAGAGGGATGCGGAACGGCGCCCTCCCCTCCCTTGCCGGCAGATACTCGCGCAGGGTTGGCGCGCGCAGTGGAGCCGCCAGGTCAGTGTCCGGGGCGAAGAGAGGCCCATTGGTTACGTCGATGTGAACGTGAGTCTGCTCCCCACCCGCCTGCGCTTGCCGCACCGCCGTTGCCACCGCGTTCACGGCCTGATCGACAGCAGAATCTTGCCCGCGACGGTCTCCGCCACGACCCGCGCCATTCCGCCGACCCCGACGGCCACCAGATCCAGCCGAGTGCGGACGCGGAGGGGACTGCTCGCGGCGTCCTGAATCCCAGCGACGTCCCGGCGACCCCCTTCCCCGCCTCGCCGGAGATCGCCACGGAGAGCGCTGCACGGGGGATCGCGCTCGCGGTGAGCGCTGGGCTGCCCGACCACGACGGGATTGGTGCCAAGGAGAGCGAGGGCGCGCAGGGGACAGATGATCGCCGGCCTCGTGTCGGAGAAATTCGCGAGGCTCAGGAGAGCGGTGGCGAGGAGATGGCTGCTGCGGAAGCTGATGCGGCAGCGAACGCCCGTGGTCCTGACGCGGCTGACCAGCAGGGCGGTTTGACGCAACCCGAGCGGGGGCCCACGAGTACTCTGGCGAGGGGGGCTGAGGAAGCGACAGCCCGCGCTCAAAGCGGCGGACAGGCTCACTCGCGGAGGGGCGGGCAGAGAAATGCGGACGAGGAGCAGCGTGCTCCGGCTCCGGCTCCGGCCGTGCGCTCTCCGCGGTTCCCTCCAGGGCGGGATCACGACCCGCTGAGGGGTCCATCACACCTGACACCACCGCCGCCGACGCCAGCGCGCCGTAAAAGAGAGAGCGAGGACGCCGTCGCACCCCAAACAAGGCGCACGGGGGCTGCAAGAAGAAGAGCAACGCAGGGAATCCGCGTGGGACAAGGGAGACCCGCCGCTGGCGGGGGCGCGGCGCCACGACGCAGGGAGAGGCGCAAGCAGCTTCACTAGAGCGGCTCAGCGGGTCCTGCGGCAGAGAGCTAGGAAGGGTGAGGAAACACTTGGCGACGACTCTGGGAATGGCTCAGAGGGTGATCCTCCCTTTATGCTCGAAAGGGAGGGGAGTTTTGAGCCCTTGACAGAGGACGAAGATGTTGACCCAGCCCAAGGGGTGGGCCCAAACCCATCTGGGGGTCGAACCGCATCTGCAATTCCAACCCTCCGAAATCGGACCGCGAGGGAGGCCCGAACCGCCATCAACACTGCGCTTACCACCTCGCCAGCCATAACCCGGCCCGCACCCCTGCCACCCCCGCCCCAATCATCAGCGCTGACGAACTGGCGGGTTGCCAGGACCTATTCGCTGACATCGCCAACTGGGACCTCTGCCCACTGCGCGACAGCAGACAGCCTCCCCTCGCCCGCCACCCACCCCGCCCTCTTCGCGAATCCTTCGCCATGTGTCTGCTGACCCCACTCCTCCACCTCGTTAAAAACCCTGACTCGTCACCTGGTTGGAAGCTGCTGATGTTTCTCCCGCGTATCCTGCTGCGCTCGACGTTAGCACGCAAACCCGACTGGAAAGCAATGGGCGACAGACTGATGCGATTTTGCCAAGGCCTGTGGCGTGGCCTGTATGACGAGGTGGCAGATGCAATTACCAATTACCCCCAACCACGCCACGTACCTGACACTACTGGCAAGCTGGCGAGGGCCGAGGAATTGGCCAAGAGAGGGAATCTGGCAAAATCTCTCCAATCCCTGACTGTCACGCCTGTCAGCACACCAAGCGCAGAAGTTTTGAGTGCTCTCACATCCAGGCACCCAGAGGCCTAAAACCCTGGCCATCCCGGACTGGGTGCAGGACTTCGCCCAAGAGACTGTTCCTTCTATCGCAGCCCGCGACTTCAGGCGACTGGTAGCTCGTTGCCCGAACGGCGTAGGAGCAGGGCCCTCAGGAACTACCTTCGAGCACCTGAGGGATGCGGCCCTTGGGAACGCCGATGTCTTCCCGCAGTTACACGCACTTACCAATACGGCGCTAGCTGGAAAACTGAACGCAAAAGTGGCGGATCTCCTTACAGTGTCGCGTCTACTAGCCTTCTCGAAACCACAGGGCGGAACGAGACCGATAGCCGAGGGTGAATGCCTGCTACGCCTCATTTCAAAGGCGGCTCTTTTCTTAGCCGCTCCCGTGGCGCGCGAGCACTTCACCCCACTTCAATTTGGAGTTGCGATCGTCGGAGGCATAGAAGCGAGGGGCCTGCAGGGCCTGCAGGGCCCGTTTACTCCCTTGAGCGAGGGGCAGCTGTATCAACTGATAGAAGACCCCTCCGGCTACTAGGGCCGGTAGGGGAAGGAGCGGTAGTAGTGATGGCAGAGTTAGTTGTTTGTTGTTGTAGCTTCGGCGTGTGTATGTGTGGCCTTACCTTGTGTGTACCTTGTTGACATTAATACGACGGACCGTGAGAGAGAGAGAGAGGGAGAGAGAGATTGTGTGTGTGTTGGTGGCAAGTAGGGGATGGAGCAAATTGGGCATGAACTCGTCCAGCGTCCAATAGGCTAGCGTCCTGATGCTAGCGTATATATGCTGGACGCTCAGCTGTCCAGCACTGGATGGACGCTGGATATATGCTCAGGGGAAAAAGTACAGGTAACATTGTTGTTGGGTACATATTTTCCTTTCATTAATTCAGTAGTTTATTCATGGTTATACATATTTGTTTACATTATAGTAGTGTAGACAATAGGGGTTGGATTATATTAGTTATAGGGTGCCCCCTGAGTGACTTCATTAAGTGCTAGGCACCCCAAATTCGGCTTTGGGGCACCTCAGCACGTTTCCCAACCTTGGAGACGCGGCTCCAGCCTGGACCCACGAATTTCAACATTAAAAACCCGGATCTAGCTTGAAATTATGCATTTCCAATTCGTGGAATCGTGGTTCCACTCGAGGGGGCGCTTCCAGACCCACTTTGAGACGTCACCATCTTGACTGTGGGCGACTTGAGCACCCATTTGGCCACCCCAAGTCCCTTAGGTACCAAACTCCTCACCAAAACCAGCCCAAGTCGCCTTCAAGCTAGCTCTATTCATTTTCTACCTATTTGAGTTTTTGTTTTGCGTGTATTCATTACTTCAATTCATTTAATGCTTCTAGAACCTTTCAGCATTTCAGAACTAGCTTCTCCTTGTGCACATTGTGCACATTGGGTCTGTTTTTCTACAAAAATATTCTCCAAACCATACAGAGTTAGGCACTCATATACAGTGCAAAATTCAAAGTTCAATGCAGTGTGAGTATCACAAAAGTTCCGCCGAAGGGTGAATAATCGAACACCATCTTTGAGAAATGCTTGGGGCACAGGAGAACCAAACGTGTTTGGTTTCGCTCCCTGAACATGTTTGTCATACGTTAGACCGAACATGTTTGTGTTTGGGATTTTTTTCATCCCTACGTGGGCTGGCCTAACCACCGACATTGGGTCAGTGGCTGATACGAACCGAACAGGTTTGCTTTTTTTGCTTAAAGTGTTCGCCAAACAGTGTTTGAGATTCGCCTCGAACACGTTCGTGTTCGGGCCGCTGCTGCAATTTGCCCCGCGACGAACACGAACGTGTTCGAGGTTCGCCCGAACACGCCTTCACAGGCGAACGGCGAACACCTGTTTTTGCTGAAATCGTTCGCCGAACCGAACAGTGTTCGGTTCGGCTGTTCGAGCTGTTCGACAGAGGACGAACCCGAACCTGTTCGAGTTCGGCCTCTGCTCATCCCACCGTCAGCCAACCAACCAAGTGGGTCCTGTGTAACAATAATTGCTTTCTAGAACTTCCTTCGTCCCCCATGAACCAATGATTAATCCTTTCTATAGCCTAGCAGCATATATTTCTCACAATAGACCAGCAACAGTGTGGTAGGGCAAGGACAGCAGTAGCCAGGATTGCAAAGTGAAGATAAGACCCAAGCAAAGGGTGTGAAATGGGACGCCTCGGAAGGGAAACTCGTTGCTCGATAGGAGACAAAGACACAACAATAGAGGCGTGGACCTGTTGTACAGAATGCTTACATAGCCACTATCTTTGTCATTGAACCAATCTCTTCAGGGATAGAGCCAGTGAGCAGATTGTTCGAAAGGAAACTGCAGTGAAGCGTGACAGTATGACGGGATAGGAGAGAGTAAACGACAAAACACATGGAATGCCGAAGTCAGAAGAGGCACAGAAAAGGAGACAAAGTTCCTTGAAAGAAGTATTGCAAGGCGTTGGCAAAGTTAAAAGGCAAAAACAAGAATGACTTCGTGGGTGGTCTAGTGTGGTCTCCCCATTATCCATGAGGAGAAGGAAATGTCTCAAGGAAAGGGGGCAGGAAAAAGGAGAAGCCATTGCACAAGAGAGGGCACACGAGATCGGCACTGATTAGAGTAACAATCTGCAGTTTCGTTTGGTTCAACCCAACGATTAATGTGGGCCGACCAGAGCATCACCGGTGGCACATGCACCAAAAGGCGGCCCCTTCCTCCTCCTTGACCCCCGTCCAGTTGCAGCTAGGGATGAGCACGGGCCGGGCCGGGCCCTGCCCGGGTCGGGCCACACTGGGCCCTGCAAAAAACCAGGCCAGGCCAGGCCCGGCCCGACCCGGGCCGAATCAAGGAGATTGTGGCCCGGGCCCGGGCATATGGTACTCAGGCCGGGATGGCCCTACCCGGGCCGGGCCCGGCCCGGCCCGGGTGAAGTTCAGGGCCAGCTTTTAACGCTTCGATCCGGGCTGGCCCGGCCCGGCCCGAAATTGGCGGGCCAATGTCGGGCTGCCGACGGCCCGGCGGGCCGGGCCGGCCCGGCCCGGGGCAATTCCGCCCGGAATTTTGCTCATCCCTAGTTGCAGCCCTACAGCGCTGTACCTGGTGGTGACTCCGTGGCTGTCTCCTGCACCAGTCACACTCTGCCATTGGAGGGGCGCTTGGTGTCCCCAAGACCTTTTCTCCTCTCTCACATGCTGCTAGGATGCACCGACACCATTAAAAGGGTTCTGTGCTTTAAAAGGTCATGCAAATTAACCTTCAAGTCTTAGCCTCTTGCCTATTGTGTGCAACTTACAAGACAGTGACTTGAGTGAGAGCACTGACACTAGCAGGAATGCTGCCTGAAAGCTGGTTCCCCGAAAGGTCCCTGAGATTGGAAAGGCAAACAAGAGCAGCACAGGGATTAATTACTTAGCTCAAAGTGCTATTAAATCTGGTTGTCGGGTACAGTGCGGAACTAACAGCACATTGGACTCAAGAAAGTGATGATCAAGGCAGGCAGGTGAACATGCTTGAGTCAGCGAGAGCTTTGTCTGCTATTCATGATGTCCGTGTATGAATTTTTGGCCACCTGTATGTAAGCGAAGTTGCACCTGATTTGAAGCTGTGCGTGTAAATCATTCGAGGTTTTGACGTTGCATTTTGACACACGACTTGATGCGACATGAGCATAAACCTGAACTCCACTTCGGTTTCATCGAACCGGTTCGATTCATGTCGAGGGTTTAGGTTTTAGGGTTCGACACAAACCCATGTCAACGGCCCTAACCGATGTCAACGGCTAGGGTTTTCGGTTCAGGGTTTGACTCCTGTCGACACAAACTCATATCAACTCAACTGGCACAAACCATGAGCCCTTCCTTTTTTCGCAAGAATGAAAATATCGGGGTTTAGGGTTCAACTCTAACCTAGCACAGTTCTCATCACCACCCTAGCCCAAGCTCGCTCCAACCCTCGATGCCAATCCCACCTACCCCTCCACCTCCTCACAGTCCTCCTCCCCCTCAAGCCCCAAGTCTACTACCGCTGCTGCATGGGGAGACTATGCCCCATCGTCGATCCGAGCACCGGGGTGCGTGGCATCTCATGCCCGCACACGCTTGGTGTTCAGTCGAGTACGCTGCCACGAGATCAAGCTCCTGCTCTGCAAGGGGACAAGAATCTCCAAGTAATACCTAGCCATCTCACGCAGCATATCGAGGTTCTTCGCAGTGCGCAAAACTCGAGGGGTGGTACGTCTACTGTGTCACTGTCTCCCACAAATCTTTTCATCTCATCACCCCAACTGCCTAGACCCCCCAGCAGCCCGAGGTACAAAGACACGTGCGATCAAGCAATGCCTACTGCCGATGTGCTGATCGCCCTCATGTCAACAGCAGACGCTGACGCCGCTGTAGTGGGTGGAGGCGCTGGCGCGTGTCTCTGCTGCTCGCGCCTGGTACGCCTCTACCCGTGAAC